CTCACTAACACCTCTTCCAGCAGCAACCTAGTTTTCCCAGGAGGTCTCCCATCCAGGTACTGACCAGGCTCAGCCCTGCCTAGCTTCAGTGGGTAACCAGTCTTGGGCTACAGGGTGATATGGCTGCCAGCTTTTAAAGGTTTTTAATGGTTCTTTTACAAGAAAAGAACTACCCTTCATTTCAATATCACTACTAGTAGCTATTTATTATATACAAGTAACTACTATGTAATTACAGGTTTGAAACAACAAATTTAGGTTCTGTATTTCACACATCCACCATTTATCCCAAATAGTATGAATTTGATTGTTTTTGGCACCTATTCCAGTTTTACTAATAACTATTTATTAGTTCTGGTACTTATTTCTTAGTTACTAGTAACTATTAAAATAGTTAAAAGTATATATTACAGCTTTCCTTGTTTTAGACACTAGTGTGCATACTAGAAGCAATTGTAATCTTTATAGTAATATTTTTAATTGAACTCTGATGTCTCAGTCTGAACTCGTCTGACTAATCATGACACATGACAAGTGACTAGTGAGATGAAAAATCTCACAGTCGTTCTGTGTTTAATAAGATTCTTTTCTGTTATGTATCATAGCTAGCCCTGGTCAGTCCCAATGGGGAACAGTATGACTTACTACTACGGCAGCTACGTGAGAGGATGGACGAGGGCTGCGGGGAGACCATCTATGTCTTGGGGGTGGGTTCAGGTGAGAAACTAAGATGAGAGCCTTGAGACTCATTTTATTCAATTTTTTTTAAGAATACCCACCAGCTTGTCTCTCACACTCTTTCAGATGGAGGAGACTATGGTTTGAATGAGAGTGATATGCAGGCGTCTGTGGCCACAGTAAGGTCCATGTGTGAGCAGATTGAGGCAGACCTCATCCTGTTGAGAGAGCGTGCCGAAGCTGGCGGCCAGGTCAGAGATTACCTTATTCGCCGTCGAGTGGGAGAAGCGGACTTCCTGGAGGTTAGGTGAGTGATGAGAAAAGTGACAGCTCAGCTTAACCAAAATAAACACTTGGTCTCATGTACTCATGGTTGCTCAAACATCATATACGTTTTTTGTGGAACATAAAATGAGGTGTTCAGGAGAATGTCCAGGCTGCTGTTTTCCATGCAACGAATGTTGACAATGCAAAAGATCAAGAAAAGTTAATCCAAAAGAACAAGAATGTACACAACCTTTCAAAAGTTAATGAAAACTTCAGACATTAAATTGATGGAATGTGACAGTAAAGACATTTATAATGTTACTGAATTGTTTCAAATAAATGTAGTTCTTTGAACTTTCTATTCATTACGGAATTTTATCACGGTTTTCACATTATTAAGCAGCACAACTGTTTTCAGCATTGATAATAATAAGAAATGTTTCTTGAGCCGCACTTAGTATATTAGAATGATTTCTGAAAGATCATCTGACACAGAAGACTGAAGTAATGGCTGCTTTGCCATGACGGTAATAAATTAAATTTTAAGATATATTCAAATAGGTAAGTTATTTTAAACTGTAAATAATATTTCACAATTTTGATCAAATAAACACTGCCTTGGTGAGCAGAAGAGACCAGGATTGCTGTGATAGACGATGTTGAATCTTGTTGATGGTGTTACCGGTGTTAAGCTGCATCACAGGTTACGTCACTTACGCACCGCCTCCCACTGTCATTTTAATTTTTTAATAGTAGTAATAATCATTTAGTTCGGTTAGAAAACAGACACTACAATTTAAAAACTGAATGTGGCTGCTCAATGCAGCATGCCAAACGACAGTCACATCACAGATCAGCAGCAGGATTTCATTTATCACTTGAGGAAAGTGAGTCGAGCTGACTGACAATAAAAGTGAGGAGAGGCAGACAAGATGATGGAAGAAGATTGATTCGAAACGAAATGCTAAAGCTCCTGTTTGGCAATATTTTGGTGTATTTTTATTTGTTTTGTTAATAAAAGCTCTGTTTCCTAGTGACTTTGTCGTTGTACTGCTTTATTGTTGTCCATTCAAGCACATGGTGCGAAATTGCGGGCTTGCGGCTAATTCGAAAGTGAATGTAAAATGCGCACAGGGATTTATAAGCTATTTAAAAGCAAAGGAAATCAAGGAAAAGAGGGAAAACTCCAACGAACGAACACAAGCCCCCGGTGATACCGGTGCTCTGTCGATTTGTGCTACCCTGTCAGATTTTGCTACCTCCCATTAAAACAGTGGGTAGTACAATTCGACAACGAAAAATGCTACCTGTAAAATTATGGTTTATTAACGTCTACACCTACCACAACCCTAAACCTACCCTTACAGTAATGTAAATACAGTAATGATGTGTTATATTCGCGGTTGTAGCTAGAAGGGATACAGCTACAGGAAACCAACAATAGATAATTTTTCTACCTATTAGATAGTGTTTTATTAAAGTCTACACCTACCCCAACACTAAACCTACCCTAACAGTAATGCAGATACATTAAATATTGTTGTTCAGCGTGAGAAAAGACGCAATATTGATGTGCGCATGCGCGGTAAACCCTGGTAGGCCGATCTGACGGGTAGGATAAAATGTCAGGACACCGGTATTAACGGTGTTGTCACGCATCGATTAACCGGTGGGAAAATTTCCTCACTGTCACAACCCTATAAGAGACATCTTTCAAAAACATGTTAAAAACTTACCAACTCCAAACTTTTGAACAGTAGTGTAGCATATCAATGATTCATATGATTCATGCTCTATTATATTAAAGGGGCATCTTTAATATGTCTTCCAAGTTCTAAGAAGCTTTTACCTTATTGACTGTAGCCAAGTCATGATGGTGTTTTCCTCAGGGTGGCTGTAGTGGGGAATGTGGACGCCGGTAAGAGCACTCTGCTGGGTGTGCTGACTCATGGAGAGTTGGATAATGGACGTGGCTTTGCACGACAGAAGCTCTTCAGGCACAAGCATGAAATGGAGAGTGGCCGCACCAGCAGCGTGGGCAATGACATCCTGGGATTTGATCAAGAAGGCCAGGTAGTTAACAAGCCTGACAGCCATGGAGGCAGCCTGGATTGGACCAAGATCTGCGAGAAGTCTTCTAAAGTCATTACCTTTATTGACCTTGCTGGCCATGAGAAGTACTTGAAGACTACTGTGTTTGGAATGACCGGCCATCTGCCTGATTTCTGCATGCTGATGGTAAGCTCCGTTTCAAAACCGAGTGAGCTGCCTTGATACTTCATAAGCAGCTTTGTTTCCTTCAATGACAGCATCCTAACCAAATACGAGTGAGCCACATGAGAAATGACTAGACTCACTGTCGCTCACAGTTGATTTTTAATAGTCTATCATTAGCATGTTGCTCAATACTCTAACAAGCACAACAAATACCGGTTAAAATAGTCCATTTTAAATTATTTCATTAATTTTAAAAACAAAAACATTTTTTAGTTCTGATTAAAATAAATTTGTAATAGACATTTCCTTCAGATGTGAATTTGGGCTAAAATGTGGCATAATTTTGGACCAAACTTCATGTTGGGAGCACATTTATGAGACCAAAGTGGGCAGCCTATTAGGTTTTGTAACAGAGTGCTCTAATGATTGTTGAAAATCTTTAAATTTACTCCATTTTTCTCTCTTGCACAGATTGGAAGTAATGCAGGAATTGTTGGCATGACCAAAGAGCACCTGGGTTTGGCATTAGCTCTCAATGTTCCTGTCTTTGTGGTGGTTACAAAGATTGACATGTGTCCAGCTAATATTCTTCAAGGTGAACCATAATAACGCCATTGCTTAAGCGACTGTAAATTATGGAAAGTGGTAGGTACTGCCATACTAATGAACACTAATGTAACACTGTATTTTCAGAGACCTTGAAGCTCCTGCAGAAGATATTAAAGTCTCCAGGATGCAGAAAGATCCCTGTCCTAGTCCAGAACACAGATGATGTCATCGTCACAGCATCCAATTTCAGTTCTGAGAGGTGATGCCCCACAACACACGTTTTTGCTTATCGCTGACTTTTAACCCAGTTATCCTGCAGACTCGCATAATTTGTTTGTTTTGTAGAATATGCCCCATCTTCCAGATCTCTAACGTCACAGGAGAAAACATGGACCTGCTGAAGATGTTCCTGAACCTGCTCTCCTCCAGAAGCTCATTCAAAGACCACGAGCCTGCTGAGTTCCAGATAGACGACACCTATTCAGTACCTGTAAGCACGCTGTCTGTCTCCGTTTATATATTTATATGTGTCCCCTCTCTCAACAGTCCAATTGTTGTTGTTTTTTTTTGGCCAGGGTGTAGGAACAGTAGTGTCTGGGACCACGTTACGAGGGCTGATTCGACTCAATGACACTTTGCTTCTTGGACCAGACCCTTTGGGCGCTTTCCTCTCCATCACTGTCAAATCCATTCACCGCAAGAGGATGCCTGTGAAAGAGGTCCGCGGTGGACAGACGGCCTCTTTTGCTCTGAAAAAGGTATGTGGTGTGGGTTCCAAACTAAATTGAATTAAATATTTAGGAGCCAAATTAACTCATTCCCCGCCAGAGTTTTTGAACAAGTTGCCAGCCACCGCCAGCATTTTTGATAAATTTCTCTCAAATATCATGGCCCCCAGAATATTTTGTTGTATTGAATATCTGAACATGCAATACATCAAAATGAAGAACAGAGCCTCTACTTTTAAACAAAAAAAATCAATTTTATTTATTTTTTTATTTTTTTTTATCAACATTTTAATGTAGGTAAGTTTCATTAATTTAAGCAACTGAGAAAATCGCATTTTTATCAAATACTACATATGGATCATATTCATTACGATGATCAAAGCAAATATGCAGTAGGTCACTTCCGTCAGCACCCCCAAAGCTTGCACAGTACTTCACAGTACCACTTCCTGGATCGACATTTCACTCCGTAACATTAGGCAGTTTTCATTTATATGCTGGTTGTTGTTGATGATTGCATTATTTTCCATATGCATCTGCTTAGATATGAGATCGCTTGTTTCTGCGTCTTCCTCTCATGTGTTTTTGATCAGGAGATTCTGGACTCATTCAGGAGATGCGTAATAGCGCCCCCGAGTGTGTAACAGTGAAAACACGGAAACCTGGAAAATTCTGTTTGGCGGGGAAAGTGTTAATTTAGTTGACAAATTACAGAATTGTTCAATAAAGATGGTTGTTCCGAAGTTCCCAGATGACGTTGTCTCTTTAGTGATCCTGATTATATTTGTGACATAAATATATAGATAAACTGTTTTGTAAGAATATTTATACCTGTTTGGAAACAAATGCTGTTTAAATTACAGTTGGACCTCACTGCTAAATGTCGTGAATATGTATTATTAATTACAACTAACAGTTCCTGATTGATTTTACATCGGACATAACGGAATCATCAGTTCAGTAAGAGATTAGTTTGCAAGCGATTTACTCCGAATCAGATTCGCTCAGTCAGTGAATCGTTTTGACCGACACATTAAAAGCTGGTTCTGAATCATTTGTTCATGAATAGGATCTTGTATATCTTGCTGTTCATTACAACATTCCTCCTCATTTCACTGTCCTTCAGATCAAGCGCTCTTCAATAAGGAAGGGCATGGTCATGGTGTCACCACGATTAAACCCGCAGGCATACTGGGAGTTTGAGGCCGAGATACTAGTTTTACATCACCCGACGACCATCTCGCCTAGATATCAAGCAATGGGTGAGATAACATGCACTTGCACACTCTTAAATGCAAATACGTGAGATTTGTCTCTAACCATTTCTCTCACTTGTCTCTTCCTTCCCACAGTGCACTGCGGCAGCATCAGGCAAACAGCCACAATCCTCTCTATGACCAGTGACTGCTTACGCACAGGAGACAAAGCTACCGTACACTTCCGCTTCATTAAAACCCCAGAGTACCTGCACATAGACCAGAGGCTCGTGTTCAGAGAGGGAAGAACCAAAGCTGTGGGCACCATCACAAAGGTCAGCTTCATGGGGTATAAGACTTTGAGGGTGTAGGCTACAACCCAATGCCGGGAAGTGTTTCAGTATTATCCGGCTAGCAGGTGATCACTTTTGTTCCTTTGGCTTGTAGTTGCTCCTGTCAACAAATAATCAGCCGTCAAACTCGAAACCTCCGCAAATCAAGATGCAGTCAACAAAGAAAGCCCCGGCTAGAAGAGAGGATGGAGTGGCCCCGTCCAATGAGGAGAGCGCTAGCACAGGATCGCCAGCCGCCCAGCAAAACGTACCACAACAGGTAATAACAACAAACGAGGGGAAGAATACTAAATATAAGGTGTGCAATGCTCAGATGTATAAGTACTGGCAATTTCCTGCTGTGTTTTGTCTGATCTGTCTGGTCTAATAGCTTTCTATCACTTTTTTCCCCTTTCCTCCACATGTTTTTATTTTCCTTTTGATTCTTACATGAAATATTTACTTTGCTTCACCTACATCATGCTCTTCTGTTGCTTTTCTTCTCCTGTGCTTTCATTTCATCCCTCTTTATTTCCCATAAATTGCTCCGTTTTTGCTTTCGTTTACCTTTTTGTTTCACACTTCTTACTGCTTCAGGCAGAAATGGAGGAAGACCCTCAAAACAAAGAGAACAAGGTAAAACCAGGGACAGCAAGTGACTCACTCATTCCCAAGACTGATAATTACCCCCTCACAGGAACTGTGCTGTTTATAAGTCTCAACATCCTGAAAGCACAGTGCATGATGCATCATTTACCCAAATGATACTGTGGCATGGAAATGAGTGAGGCTTGTGACCAGGAGGGTGTCGTGTTTAATATTCGCTAGTTTGGGTGTTGTCTCAGTGCACAAGATAATGAACACTGTAGTGTGTTCCTGGAACTGTGCATTTAGGCACAGATTAGTATTTTGTGTGATGGTTCTAATTTTATTGGGCAATGAATAATTGGATGGATTTTAATTTGGATTTTGTTGAAATTTGATTTTTAGACATTTACCAAAATAGTTTTTTTTTTTTTACATCTGAAATGCGCATGTGACATATTAAAGTTTTTGTGTGGTATTTTAAAGATTTGCATTTTTTAAACATTTGCAATTTTGTTTTTGTTCTAAATATGTTATAGAGGTGAAGGTAAATTTAAAAATATACACATTTTTGGCGGATGTAATTTTGAATGAATTTCTGAATACCATTTCAAAAGCTGAAACATTTAAATTATTTTAAATTGATCTATCTAGAATTCAAATGAACAAAATTCTAAATCTTTTTGTAATTTCTGTAGCTGCATAGAAAATTTAAATGTGTGGTTATATTTGCAAATCAAATATTTATTAATATTTATCAGTAATCAAAAATCAAATATATTAATATTTATTAAAGAAGAACTACCATTGTTATTTTAGTATGAAACAGTTTTTTGAAATTTAATATTTTGAATTCTTTTTCAATTTTGTATTTTGTTTTTATTTACATTTTTATAAATTTTATGAATTATGTTTGTGTGTTTATTTTTATTAGATTTTTTTTACGTCAATATAGTTTAACATTTTTTATTTCAGTTTTAGTTCTTTTGGTACATCAATTTAAACTGAAAAAAGCAATGTTGCTGCAGCAACTAGCTGAAATAAAATAAGTTAAAATTGTTGTTTTTTTTAATATTCCATTTCAGTTCATGGTTTTAGTTATAGGTTTCATTAAAGGTGGGGTAAGTGATTTCTGGTAGCCAAGGTTGATATTTCAAATCACCAAAACAAACACGCCCCTACGATTAGTTCAGTGAAACAAAGCAAAACCAATGTTACACCGTGTCTACACCGGATGCGAGCGGCGTGGTGCGACAAAATACCATAGAACTCATTATAATCAGTGATGCTGTGTACACTGGATGCGGTGCGACACGACAATTCCCCGACAGAAAACTGCTGCTGCGTTCTATTTATGATGTATTGACACAGATTTCAAATGATTTTCAACGGTCGCTTTGTCACGTCCAGTGTACTAGACAGACTTTAGCTGTTGCGGTGCAGACACGGTGTTACTCACCTATCAAGAAGAAACAAAGCAACCTCGGCGTCTGATCGCAGGCCTTCCATTCCTTGAGTTCTCTCCAGTGCTGGAAAGCTGATCTGATATTTACACGGGTCCTACTTCTTGCATTATTGCCTTGAGCCTTCTTTTGTTCCGCAGACATTTTCCTCTTTTGTTTTTTATCCGCCATCTCCATCTTTCTGTCGCTCGGCTAGGCTAATGTCCGTCCTGTGCACTGAGCGATCTCTCATCCCCATCAAGAGTAGACACGCCCCTTACTACTGATTGGCTACCACTTTGTTTTGGTACTCGGCCCGACTCAGTTTTCTAAAGCGTTTTTGAAAAAGTGCTTACCCCACCTTTAATTAGAGCATTGATGTAATGATGGAAGACCTCTAGCTCACACCTTTGTAAAAGGGAGGCTAGAAAAACATTTATACTTAGAAAAGTTAGTTAATGAAGTAAATGAGGAAGACAGTCTATCTATCTATCTATCTAATCTATAAACGTTACGATTTCAAATCTTTTCAAGACGAAATGTTCTTACTTTGATTGGAATGTTACTTTTTTGATTACGGTTATATGAGCTTTATCCGCCATCATATCTTTGTCGTCGCTCAGCTCGGCTAATGTCCGTCGCCGTCCTCCTGTGCACTGAGCGCTCTCTCTTCCACACATCATGAGTAGACGCGCCCCTTACTGCTGATTGGCTACAAGTGTGTTTTGGTACTCGGCCCGACTCAGTTTTCTAAAGCGATTTTGAAAAAATACATACCCCACCTTTAACTGTAGTAACCCTGTAAACTACATGTACTTACTGTGTAATTTATGCTGTGGTGCTGCTTATTATTAGTATTATGTTTTACTGCTGCAGTATAAAGTGGTAGATGTTGCCATAGCAGGATCAAGTGTAAAGTTTTCAAGGTCAACAATAATCTTATAACTTCCTTTCTCCTGTCTTCTTGAAGCCAAAGTCTGGAGGCAGAAGACGAGGAGGTCAGCGGCACAAAGGCAAACCTCAAAGCAATTCCACAGTGACCCTCGCTGGTGCGGTCGGGGGCTGCTAAAGAGTCCAGCTCACCCTCCATGTTTTACTCGCGCCTTTCACCTGCCCACAAGGACCAGACCACTTTGATGACAAGGCTTAAGAGTTCACAGAACCAACTTGCACATTGTTTTGTGAATTTTAATTTATTATAAGATGTGCGTGTGTTCGTAGACTGTATATACCATAGATTTTGAGACTATAGGACACCTAATGCATAGTGGTTCTGTTTTGGCTGTAAATGTCAGCATAAGAAGGATAAACTTTAAGTCCATTCTTCTTGCTGAACATGACATCATGTACTTGCTCTATGACTGTCATTCTTATCACATTTTTAGGATAATCCCAATGGAAATTATGTAAAGCTCTGGCGGCTGAACTCTTCATTATGTAGCCAACTGTTTTTAAGGGACAATTAACAAGACTTGTCACACAATTGCGTTTAATTTGAATTAGCATTGTTATTGTGGACCATGACGATAAGAACTGGATGCATTCCCGATGCTTTCGGTTGGTGTTAAGACCTGAATTCAGTGGGGGCTGAGGACACTGTGACTGCAAAGTTAGCTGGCAGCTAGTTTAGTGTGAAATGTGAATTGGCAGTTAAACGCACATTGAAATCTAATCACACTCATTGCTAATTACCTCATATTAGTTTATTTACACGTGCCCAAATCTTTGGTCAAGCTGAGCAAATCACTCGAGTGTTTGTCAGGCCTTACAGACTTGGCTCAGGATCTGGGAACATACTCAAATGATCAAATAAGATACTTCAGACTACCCAGTGAAATATACACAGAGTAAGGGACGAAGAACAGAATGTAGATCTTGAGGTTATAAAATGTGTATAATAGTTCATGATGGGGAAACTTTACAAACCAGTGCCAGTTGTTCTTAAGAAAGAAAAAAAAAAGTTTTATTAACCTTTTCTTCCAGCTGTGATCTATAGGCCTTCAGAACACTTGCTGTAATTTCTTTCAGATGGTTTTACTGTTTATTGAGCTTTAGTATTCACACCCTAGTGGCAATATGATACCTGGACCATTCTCTGCGTTTTCATGTGAAACTCATTTTCCACTACCAATCTACAAATAAACTGATGTTCACAATATCAGCAGTGTGATTCTTGTTATGCTAGTTTTGCTTAGTTGGGCTATCTAGTCCAGGGGTCTTCAACCTTTAATAGACCAAATACCCCAGGGATCTCTGTTGTATACCATTACTGATGTCTAGCATTTTAAATGTACATTCCAAGACAATGAATCATTTAGTTGTTTAGTTGACATGAATTGAAAAATCCACCCCATTTTATAAATTATTTTATAGATCTTCTTGTGAATACTTCATGCATGTTTCATTTTTACAAAATGTCATAACTTAGTCCTCCAGTCTTTTCTCTCATGAGGAATGTCGGACTTCTCCAATCAGTCTGCTTAAAGGGATAGTTCACCCAGAAATGAAAATCCTGTCATAATTTACTCAAATAAGTGTATTTCTTCAGTTGAACACAAAAGATATTTTGAAGGAAAAAAAAAAGTTCAAAAGTTGGGGACCCCATTGACTTCCATAGTATTTTGTCCATACTGTGGAAGTCGATGGGGACCAACAACTGTTTGGTTACCCATATTTTTCAAAATATCGTATGTGTTAAACAGAAAAAAAAAGAAACTGAAACTGGAATAACGTAAAGGTGAGTAAATGATGACAGAATTTTAATTTGAACAATTTTTGGGTGAACTATCCCTTTAAAATCAGTCCTTTCTTACAATAGACTGCAAGCTATCATTCAGATCTGCCTCCATTCAGTCAACCACAGTGGGTAGAACCAAGCCTATGCCCAACATTTTTTTTTTTTTTTTTAAAGGGGTCATATGATGCGATTTCAAGTTTTCCTCTCTTTGAAGTGCTACAAGCTGTTCGTGAATAGATAAGATCCCTGAAGTTGCAAAGAGTACAGTCTCAAAACCAAAGGGATATTCTTTATCAATAATGATCTTTAAAAAAGCATATGACCCCTTTAAATGATCCCTTTTCAAGGCTGTGCCATCTTGACAATAATCATCTTTGTCAGTTCATCCATGCAGGTGTCTAGTTAAACTTTTATCTTGAGTTTGTAGGTTGCAGGAAGGCATCTATGCCTGAAACAAATTCATTTGAACATGATTTATTTATTTTCTTATGAAATAGCGAGTTGAATAAAGGCTTTTAATACTTTTTTTGAAAGGCGCCTTTGATCAATTGTGGTATTTTTCCAATAATCAATTTCGCTTGAATGTACCATATGTCACAATACAGAAGATCTGTCTTCTGTTTTATTGTGACTACAATACATATTTTTCACAAAAACATGAGTTTAAACCATCTCAAATTGAAGACCTCTGGGATTATGCCTAGTGGCACTTGTGGGAACAATTCCACATTTAACAAGTCTCACACACACACACAAAAAGACGAAAGCACACAAATTCTTACAGATATAGATTTTTATTTACGTACACATTATCAGTGATCGTGGATCGAGTTTGGTCATGCTCAACCATTACAGACTAGTTTTTGGTTCAAAACAACCATGTCTACCAATTACAAGAACTTTAAAATGGACCCTTTTTCTTTCACTTACTCTAACATCTAACTGTGCCACTGCAAGCTCTTGCAGAGAAGACACACAAAGCTCTTCAGCGTCACTCATTCGGAGCGGCCCATTATGACTCCATGTAGACTGCAGTGCAGCACTGGACCGTCTTCTTTTTCACATCTCAAAAAAAAATAAAATAAAAAAAGCTAAATACTAGTTTTCTCTTCTTTATACTTTACATGGTTTATAAGAAATAGCAAAATATGTAACACAAAGCTGATTCATTGCCACACCAACAACACTGAATCATCAGTGATGCCCTTCATGTTGAGGCAGATTCAATCAAGTGTTTTAATGCTGCAGTCTGAACTACACACGAGAGAAAGAGACCGGACTGTAGTGAATGAGTTTCATCATTAGTTTGCTGTGGATGTAATGGGATGTTACGGATGTGGGGTGGTATTATTCAGCTATTTTGGAAACAATCATAATTGGAAAGTCCTCTGAAGATAATGAAAATGTGTTTAATCTCTGATTGTACATGTCTGATAGACACAAACGTGATCATTTAGACACTGAATTAGCTCTTCAAGACAATCCTTCCGGAGCATAAGAGCTGGACTGACATCTTTCCCACTATCCAGAGATCACCAAGAGTAAAGGGACAAAAGGGTGCAAATCCTAGATTCATTCATGACCTCTAGTCGTGCCCCAAATGGTGCAACATTTATTTAGCTTCGGAGGAGAGGAAGTGTTTGCAGGTAGTCCTTAGTCTGATTCTGTGTGAAATCTCACATTAGAGTCACAAAAAGTGAAACTATTGTGCCAAGACGCACAAACACTCAACAATGCAGTCATGTGACATAAAGCTGTACAACGAATGAACATGAATTTCACGTGTGATGCCTGTTTTCTGCAGATGGAGAGTGATTTGGTCTATGTGTTTGCAGCTCACAGGAGGCGTGTGATGGTTTAGCCATCAATGTCCCAGCTGAAGAGGTGATGTTTCACCAACATGTCCTGAACTCCCTCCTTCAGAGGCCTCTGCTCCTTCTCCTGGAAAAAGAGTGGGGTAGAGTGAGCCATTCGGTAATCAGTACATCTGCACTCTGCTGATTAAATGATGCTCCGGTGCCTCGAACGGCTGAACTAATTAAAAACAAATGGCTGTGCTCAGCATTCCTGCTGATTTTCATGACTATCCTGCTGTAATTAAACATGGCACTCTATCAGTGCTTGAGAGCTCAAGACAAGAAGGTCACGTGACATGAGAAGCACAGTGCACTAACATTACATCTAAAGGTCAGAGTGGAAATTCCTCTACAAGCTAACATTAGCGCTAATGGTCTCATGTTTCAGGTGAATGTGGAGTCACCGAGGAATTCTCAACACCAGGTAATGCCTCCCAGTGCTACTTCCATCAGCATCAAGTCTAAATCCAGACTGAAGAGAGGATGTTGAATTCATAATCGCAATATCATTCCGTTAAACACCTGGCAATTCCCACCCTGAATGTGACCGCAACTTATCGCAGGAAGTCTGTCTGTCACCCAGAATATTCACTCCTGCAACCTTTTCATACCAAGTCTGAATTTATGCATGATATTAGATTTTGAATTAAACTATAAATTCCGATCCCAAAAGGACTTTTCAAATGTTAAGATGTCAATAAATAAAAAAAAATAAAAAAAAATTGAGAGTGGCATCTTCCGATGAGTTTTCATTAACATATTATAATATTTAACACTACAATTCAAAAGTTTGTAATCAGAAATATTTTTTTAAAGAAACAAATACTTTATTCAGCAAGGACACATTAAATTGATCAAAAGTAACAGTAAAGACACTTGGAAATAAATGTTGTTCTTTTGAACTTTCTATTCATCAAAGAATCCTGAAAAGATATATAAAAATATTAAGCAGCACAACTACAACTGTTTTCAGCACTGATAATAATAATTGTTTCCTGAGCATCAAATCATCATATTAGAGTGATTTCTGAAGGATCATGTGACACTGAATACTGGAGTAACAATGCTGAAAAATTTGCTTTGTCATCACATGAATAAATATATTAAAATAGAAAACAATTCTTAAAACATTTTAATAATCCTTAACAATAAATTTGACTGCATTATTGATCAAATAAATGCAACCTTGCTAAAAGATTTCTTTCAAAAAACAAATTATTTTATTATTTTATCCAGATGATTAAAATGTAAAAAGTGATTAAACATTCTAAAAAAAAAAAAAAAAAAAATCAGTATTAGTTTCATTGTGAATAGTTTTGGGGCCAGTTGCATAAACATAGCCACCATGTTAAGACAGTGTCTTAAGAACTAGTTTGATCAACTAGCAGCTGTCAAGGGGTAATCAGTCTTACTTTCCCAATACAAATACAAGAACAATCTACCTCTTCATAACTGAATATAAAAAGTTATGACCAGTCTTGAAAACAAATTAGGTGACTCATTTTTAAAGACTAGTCTAAAGAGTTTATGCAACCGGCCCCTGGCTGAAGCAAAATTAGTTTTTGCCATTTAGTTACATAGGACTTGGTGTGAGCAGGCCTTTATCTTTCAAAGCACACTGGGATACAAGCATCTATCTGAACTAAACATAATGGAGAGCAGTATTTGCTTTAGAGTTTCATTAGCATTCCGCACAAAAGCTGCTGAACTGGCTTTTAAAGGTTTAGTTGGCATTATGTGAAGCCACTATGTAAACAGCAGTGAACAGGAGAGCAGAACACACCAAGCACTACTACTACCACCACTGACTGCTTCCGCAGCTAATTATCAAGCAGCAGGCTAGTAACTAGTTGCCAGCATTACCTAGAGGTCCCAACTAAAGAGGTGATGTTGGACCAAGACATCCACCACTTCTGATTTGAGAACAGGAGACTTCTGGAATGGCAGACAAACACGCAGACGCATGTTAGCCTGTGTGTGTGTGTGTGTGTGTGTGTGTCTGTGTGTGTGGGTGTTAGCCTGTGTGTGGAAGGACATGTGAGACGTTGAGTGAATGTGAGTGGAGGAAGTGCCAATCTCTCACCTCTTTTTTGGTAGGCAGCTCACAGTCTTGGGAGAGACTGAAGGCAAACTTTGAGAGAACTCTGAAAGTAGCACATACAAACCCATGTCAGTAATACACTCCAAATCAACCAAAATAACATTTATGGCAGTCATTTTAGCATACAGGATTGACCAATTATTTCAGATCATTTAGTAATGATTCATTCAGACCAATTTGTGAACTGAATTTGCTCAAAAAATAAAGTGATCTCTATGCTTTATGAGAACATGTAATGTTTACATGATTTTTGAAGTATATTAAAACAGAGAAGTCATTTTAAATTGTAATATTTCAAAATTGTATGGTTTTTACTGTATTTTTTTATCAAATAAATGCAGCCTTGGTAATAGATTTCTTTCAAAAACATAAATTATTGAATTTATCTTTTATTCAGGTGATTAGTAAATTGATCAGTAAAACAAAATAGTCAAAATACAAAACAGGATCAGACTGTGTGCGCT